TAAAAATGTCATCAATCTATCATCATCGACAACACAGTTATTACACGAGTCACATATATTATGCCCTCATTGAGTACGTTGTCCTTTGATTGGTACAGTGTGCCATATATACTTAAGATAAGAAGATTGACATCAATAGACTTATCATACAGGGTGTGCATTGCGATAAGAACTGTAGCATCGGTAAAACTATCTTACAGGGTGTGTACACTCAATCTCAAAATTGTCGCGCTCACAGGCAGACAGCAGCTGCTCACAGACATGTTCACAGGAACACAGCAGGTTTCTCATTTATTTTATAAATAAGAATTGTCTGGCTTATTTCCACATGTCACTGCATTATTGTATTAGGCGATGTATTTCCATGGCTGTTGATTCTGAACTTTTTTTACAAGATTATTAACTAGTTGGAGGTTCCGCCATATATATTTAGTTTTATCTTTTTCATTTTATTAAACAAATGATACGCACATTATTTATATTATACATACACCGATTATTACACAGTGTCACTATTATCTTTCACTCAATTAACCATTATCATGTTCTGATTTGTTGAATTCCAGTTAATTGGTATTAAGAATTTGTGAATACGCACAAAAACGTCATGTCTACTGCGGTTAAGGCAACAGTGGCGATAGATTTTGGGACGACCTTCAGTGGATTCGCCTATTCCAATAATTCTCACCAGAACAGAGGGGCCACAGAACACATATACATGAGCAAAAAGTGGGGGCACAATAGAGGCATCAGCACTTTAAGAACGCCAACGTGCATGCTTTTGAAACCAGACAAGGGGTTTGATGCCTTCGGATATGACGCTCAAGAAAAATTTGCTAGTCTGGAAGGAGGAACAGACAAAGAGTACTATTATCTAGAGAGATTTAAAATGGAGTTACATAACAGAGAGGTAAAGTTATTATGTACAAATAATTAGAAATAACATGTCCAAACATGAATATTTAAACAAAAGTCCTATAAGAAAAATTTACAAGCAACGTAGTATTCTGGATTTGATTGATCTTGGCAATTTGTCGTATACATGAAACACTCTTCCGAAATTATATATTATCAAATATATATAAGTTACCTATGCAAATATGTATTAGTACAAGTTTCAGTCGGTTACGTGATTGCATTGGGCAAACAATGTCTGTGTACAGTTAATCTGACAGATGTATGTGAAAATAGTCGTCCATCTTGGATTGCATGTTTGAGAATATGCCAGTACTTTCATTCTATATTTATATATATTCATTTATACGACAATGTATGTCTTTCAGAAAATTGATGTTAACACTGAACTCACTGCAAGTAATGGTAAGCGAGTCAATGCCCTGCTTGTATTCGCTGAAGCTATAAAATTCCTGGCAACTGAAGCAGTTGAAGTAATACGTCAGCGTTCTGGTTCTAAGTTGAGTAAAGATGACATTCAGTGGATATTGACTGTACCAGCAATTTGGAATCAAGTATCCAAACAATTTATGAGGGAGGCGTGTATCGAGGTGATTTTAACTTCTTAGCTTTTATTAGGTTAGTTATGAGGTATTGTGATCGGTCATAAAATAGGGCCCGTGTGACTCTTCAGAGGTGGGAAGAATGTTAAATTATGATTCAATGAAGCGGTTCTTACTAGCTGTCAAGATAACATATATTGCTGTGCTTTTCTTACGATGTTGTAGTCCTTTGAGAGGCAATAGGAAAATAATTTGTCTTGTTAATCCAGGTATTAAATTTAGCTGGTTGCAATAAATGTAGTCTAAACAGTATATATAGTATATGCATCATGGTTATTTTTTTTTACCAAACTACAATTTAGATTGAATTAACTTTTTGATGCACTGTATTCTATTGCCATTAAAATATCCATCTCAGTTGGAATACGTCACTGTATTTCAGGCTTCTATCATTACAAGGGAAAATCCACGGCAACTCATGCTGGCACTGGAACCTGAAGCGGCTGGTCTAGACTGCAGGACACGGAGTATGGCGGAATTCGTAGATGGAAAATCAAAGGAAAAGTGTGGAGATGTTACTGCAAAGCCTGGGACAACGTACATGGTTATTGATAATGGCGGTAGATTTCGTTTTAAAAGTTTCGTTTTGTAATAGTCATATGTTTTTACAGATACGTGATGATGTTCCAACATGCGTATTCTATTTTAATGAATGTCGACCAAAACACAGTAAATGCGTTTGCATTCTTTCACATCTGATGGCTAGTACCAATTTTTAAATTCAAAGTGTGTCGTACCACTAAATCATTTGATGCTATATTTCCTTATTTCAGTCGTTGTTTATATGTTGGCTTTAACTTTATGGTTACATACAGTGGTTACCAAAAACATGTTAGTCCGTTTCTAGGCAGATAACCTCACCCTAAGAAATTGAAACTACATAATATATAATTTCTGTTATTATGCGTTATCTAACACATGTTAATACATTTTACACAGGTGGCACTGTTGATATCACTGTGCATCGAATCAACAAGGATCAGACAATTGATGAGCTACATCGACCAACTGGAGGAGCATGGGGAGGAATTTGTGTGGAGGAGGCATTTGAGAAACTGATGAGTGATCTCTTCGGCTCAAAATTCATTGCCGAATACAAATACAGCTATCCAGCACAATGGACCGAGCTTATGACCGATTTTGAAATGAAAAAGCAATCGCCTAAATTGTCGAATGAATACACTAGAATCCGATTCCCCTACGACTTATTCACTAAGGCAAAGATCACCACAAGAGCAAGGTGTCGTTTTGAAGCAGATGACGTGAAGCTGACAGGTGGTTATCTTAGACTTAGTCCCAGTGTGATGATGGGATTATTTGAGAAACCAGTAAACAACATCACCAATTTTGTTGCTGATTTGTTGAAAGATAGACAATTTGATAATGTTACTATTATGTTTCTTGTTGGTGGATTTTCCGATTCGCCATTTTTGAGAAAGAAATTTGATGACAAATTTGGATCAAAATATAAAATTTTGACACCAATCGATGCGAGTTTATGTGTTGTCAGAGGGGCTGTATTGTTTGGTCAAAAACCTGAAATAATTAGCACCAGAGTAAGTCCCTACACCTACGGTACCTACCTGACTGTCTTATTCGAAGAATCGGAACACGAGGAAAGGTACCGTTATACTTATATGGGCGATGAATTTTGTGATATTTTTCACAAACTGGTCACGACTGGTGAGAAAGTCAAACTCGGGGAGATCAGGTCGGTAACCACATACCCCGTGAATGAATCACAAAAGACTGTCGATATTGACTTTTATATTACAGCTAACAAGAAAGTGACGTATGTAAATGAACCGCATGTAAGAAAAGTTGCAAGCGTTACCCTTGAAAGCCTCAACACCAGCAAAGGTAATGACAGGCAGTTCAAATTGGACATTCAATTTGGAAATACAGAAATTCAAGCCACAACTAAAGACGAAGAAAGTGGCAACAGCAAGATTGTGTTTCTTGATTTCTTTTCCCATTCCACTGAACGTGGGTCGTGAAAAGAAATCGTGACACTGACACTGACGAATCTCGCACCTTTGTGTGATGAATATATCTATAATCATTAGGTGTATGATTGCATAATTACAGATTGTAATGTGTTCAGGGATATTTTATTTAAATTTAGTATATCTTACTCAATTTAGTATGAAATCGTGTATTTATTCCTTTTGAAAGAAGCAGTTACATTGTTATTCTTACAAAATATTTCAAACCAAGAAGTGAACTTCATGTACCTATTTTATATCTTAATGACGGTTCGATTGTGGCAAAGTAAACCACCGCTTTATATTATTCCTGTCAAAGTATGTATATATATGTATAAAGTTTGTATGTAAATATATATATGTATATTATATA